CACTTAATATTACTCTATATTCTGCTAGGTATGGTACACAACTTACCTTTTAATCAACTGTAGCCAATTTGCTTATCACAGAATCTGAAATAAGAATACACTGGCTAAACCGGGTAACATAGCTGTCTTAAAATTTAACAAATCGACATAAAAAGGCCTTTGCAGACTCTGTACAATCTAATTTTAATGTGCACAAATTTATGGCCACATACAAAGTCTGTGCTTTTATAACCTTTAATCTAACTTCTAAAGACTCAGAAGTTGAGATCAGCAGATAGTGGAATGGTTATGTAGCTGGACTCCCATGTAGTCAACCATAGTTTGAGTCCCGGACCTGGTGGCTTAACCTCACATGTGTGTGCGTGCCCAAGATCCCTAGAGGAGAATGGAGGATAAGGGATTATGAGGTGGCCAACCACCCTGGGGGGTGATTTCTTGCTTTCTGTCTCTCTGACTCTCTCTGTCTTTCTGGCGAGCACATGCGCCCTATAGCAAAAACCTATCACCACCCTCCCCCAAAAAACCTTAAAAATTTAGAACCTATATTTGAATAGTATCTTGATAAGCAATTCCTTAACATTCACCCTGGTTAAACAGATGTCTCAGAACTCCTAGAAAAGGCACCGGCAGGAACTGCTTTACTCCCCAAACTACTTGGACAGAAATTGGGAGGAGTGAAAAGCATCTGCTGTGATCAATTTAATTGTTACTGGAGAAATTCAACAGTGCTTTTTTGACATCCACTGGACTCTCCTGGAGTTTCAGGAAAGTGTGGAGAAGATAGAATTCACAAACGCACATTTTAAAGACATGACTCATACACATTTGAATTTCTACATAAATTAAAATCTACAATAGTAAACAATAACATGTTTTATACTCAAAGTCATTACATGGCCCCCCAAAAGAAACTGCTTAAGGAAAACACGTATATGTACATATTATTTGAATTGTCTAATGATTTACTATTATGTTCATCATAGCATATCAATTAAAATTCATCAAGAGTCAAAATAAACAAATCCATTTACCTTTCCTGGTGTTTTTAAAATACATTTAACTTTCTCAATTACATTTGAAACATCCCCTGAATCTTTCAACTTCTTCCTGATGTCTTCTTCCAATTCTTCCCACTGGAAAGCACCTGTGGTGAAACCAGCACAAAAGGTTTTTCTATTAACCCAGGTGGTAAGAAAAATACATCTCTTATCATATATCCACACTCTCCTTATTATTATTCTTCCCATGTTTCTTTATCAAATATGTATCTTTATAATTACACTAAGACATTTAAATAGCTTCCACGTATTTTAAAAATTGGGCTTCCAGGGCCAGTAGTTGGCATGGTGGTTAAGGCAGTTGGATTCCCACACGGTCAACTGTGATTCAATCCCAGACTTGGTGGCTTGAAAAATCATGCTGGGCACGTGTGCATGTGTGCCCAAAATCCCAAGTGGAGAATGGAGGAGAAGGGACTGAGGCCTGGTCATCCCTCCTGGGAGGCGATTTCTCACTTTCCCTCTCTGTGTTTGTCCTCTCTGGTGAGCACATGCACCCAATGGCAAAAAAATAAATAAATAAATAAATAAGAAAACCTAGAATAAATCAAGAAAGATCAGTTTGCCATACTCTAAATTATTTCTTAAAACCCGAAGTCCACCTTCCTGGATGGATGTCACTTCTCCATCACGGGTGGTCAGTTAGTGAGAGTGAGAACAGCAGTGACCAGAAAATGAGTTTCCATGACAAGTGGTTCAAGCCAAAATTACTTTCCCTGGAGGTAGACGTGGTCTTGCTGAAGGTCAAATGACCTCATACTAAAGACGGAGAGTGGTGACTTCCATCAGGTAGAGAAATAAGCAGCAAAACAGAATGCGTTCAGCCTGTGCACTGTCAGGGCCAGACTGGAGTGTCTGGTAGCTAACTCCACAAAAGCAACCTGAGGTAAGGGGCCGATGATTCCCTCATGAGCTACGCGGCCACACCACTGGAGCCAAACCATCCCGCTGGCCTCTCCCTTCCCTTCATCCTAGTCCACTTCAAAGCCACCGCTCCTAGCCTCACTTCCCGTCTGTCTCCCACTCCCCTTTCCTCCCGTGTCTCACACATTCTGTGCTATTGTCACCAACAGCTGACCTTTCCCCCAGCACCCTTATCCCTCGGCCTGCAGCGGCTTCCTATCCCGCCTACCTCCTCCCTAACAGTCCTCGCCCCAACACAGCTACCCCATCATTCAAAGCTGCTAAGTATTCCAAAGCACCATCTGCTCACAGTATTCTGAGAAGTTATCCTCGTCTACCCACGGCATGTGGAGCGCCAGAAAGCGCAATGTGTACAGGTAGTCAGGAGACCCAGGTTCTAGTTTTATCTCCACCAGTAACTACCGGTATGGCTTTAAGTAAGTCATGTGACCTCCCTGAGTGATTTGAGATTCTCTGAGATTCTTTCTTCCTTCCTTTCTTTCTTTCTTTCTTTTTTAGAGAGATTTTTGCTACAGGGCACATGTGCTTGCCAGAGAGACAGAAAGAGAGAAATCACACCCCCAGAGGGGATGGCCATGCTGCAATCCCTTCTCCTCCATTCTCCTTTCAGGATTTTGGGCATGTACACACACGTGCCTGGCATGAGTTTCAAGCCAACAGGTCTGGGACTCAAACTGTAGTTGGCAACATGGGAGTCAAGGACTCTAACCACTACGCTACTTGCTGGCCTCAGGATCCTTTTCTATCTGCTCTCAATCCACTTCTTTTGATGTTTCTCTTCCTGTATCCAGCACTGTGTCAAACACCTTCCTGGATACTGGGGAGTGAGGAAGACACATAATAAACATTTACTGGACTAAGCAGATCAGGCATTTGCAACCAGTCTTTATGAACTAGAGTCAGAGCCAATGGGAAGGGCCCACTGTGTATCTAGTAGCCCTCGGGGCTCTGCAGCTGAGCCCTGGAGCACCTGGCACTCCCCTGCAGCCTTCCAACTTCTGGCCCTCACAACTACTACAGTACATCCTTGGGGACACTGGAGCCCTGAGATGCGGCATTTGCCATTTCCGTGGTGTAAATACTCCCGCCATGGCCACATGCAAGTTATCAAAATGACATTATGAAACCTGGGAATAGAGATTATAGACAGAATTGTACTCTCACAAGGTGGTGCTAGCTGGTTTCAGCATGCCATGGCTTCTTCCCACTTGTGCTAGCTCTTTTTCTGACTTCCCTGTTAGCTTCCCTAATCTATAAGAATTCTGTGCTTTTTATCTTCTTCCTGAACTAACGATTTTTCACCTTGGGGTCACATACTTTTCACAATCTGATAAACTCTTTGAATAGTTTCAGAAATGTTCTCTTCAGAAAATTCCACTTGTAGCCAACATTAAAGTCTGTATAAAAATGTCAGAAGTGGGACCAGCAGGTGGCATGGCTAAGGCACTTGACTCCCACATGGCCGACTGTAGTTCGCGTCCTGGACCCAGTGGTTTGAAACTCACATGAAACAATGTGTGCATGCATTTCCCAAAATTCCAAAAGGAGAATGGAGGAGAAAGAATTGTGACATGGATGTCCCTCCTAGGAGATGATTTCTTGCTTTCCCTCTCTCTGTCTCTGTCTCTCTCTCCCTCTCTAGCAACTACATGTGCTCTATGGCGAAAAACAAAAACAAAAACAAAAACCTTAAAAAACTATCAGGAGCAAAAAGAAGCTCTTACAAGCCGAGAGACCTAGATCAAAACTTTTACTCCAAGCTAGTGTCTTTCAGCCCTAGCTGTGCATTATACATACCTGGAGATCTGTTATAAAATGCCATTAGAGGAGGTTTCATTCCCAGCTCAATTAAATTAGAACTTCTGGGAGTGGGACCCCTAACATTGATGTGTTTTTAAAAGCTTCCCAGGTGACTCCTATGTGCATTAAGTGCTATTAATGACCACTGCCCTTCCTTTAGAAATTTCATCTATTATCAAAACTCGGGGTTAGTGGTATCCAGCAAACAGTAGTATTTTTGATTGTCTGCACTCCTGCAAGCTGAAGGAGAACACAGATACTGTCTCTGTTTTCTTTTAGTTAGGCTATATAAAAATAAAAGTTACATTAAGTAAAATTATATGGACTAAAGAACATCTAAAAGACATCTCCATCATGAAGATTACCCGAAAGCAGGAAGCATCGAGTAATCCCAGTACACAGGATTAGTAGTAGGTTAATCTCCACAGGTCCCTGATCTGTTTGAGAACGACCCGGAAAGGAACGATAACTAAAAATGAAAGTACGACTAACTGTTGGAGCCAGCAGGTGGCGTGGTGGTCAAGACGCTGGACTCCAACATGGCCGACTGTAGTTTGAGTCCTGAACCTAGCGGCTTGCTTTCTCACTTTCTCTCTCTCTCTCTTTGTCTCTCTCTAGTGAGCACATGTGCCCTACAGCAAATTAAAATAATAATAATGAATAAAACTAAATAAATAATCATTTTTAAAAAGACTGTTAAGTCCACACTAAGGATTGGGCTGTTTTCATCATTAGAAATGCTAATAAGATCATCTTTTGACACTTTTAGGTCCAAACACAGTAATTATCCTTAGGTTAGAATTTTTCTTTTTTTTCCCTTTATTTTTGTGTGTGTGGTAAAAAACAGTTAACATAAGATTTACCCTAATAACAAAATTATAAGTGTATCATACAGAATTGTTAATAATAGGCACAGTATACATCTGATCTCCAGAGGTTTTTCATCTTGCAGTACTGCTTGGATTTTCTCAAAGCACTTACTTTATTTAGACTCTCAGAGAGCACAGTATTCTTTTTTTTTTTTTTTTTTTGGAGAGATTTTCACTGTAGGGTGCGTGCGCTCGCCAGACAGACAGAGAGAGACATAGAGACAGAAAGCGAGAAATCACCCCCCAGGGGGGATGGTCACGCCGCAATCCCTTCTCCTCCATTCTCCTCTCGGGATCTTGGGCACGCACGCACACGCGCCCGGCGTGAGTTTTAAGCCACCGGATCTGGGACACGAACCGCGGTCGACTACGTGGGAATCCAGCGACATAGCCATTACGCTAACTGCTGGTTCCCAGAGAGCACAGTATTCTCACGTACACTAGGCTGTGTTTTGTACAGTGCAGAAAAGAGCATGCCCCAGAGTAAGGCCCAGCACTGGTGGATACCGTGCAAACCGAGGAGGAAAGCTCCTTTCCAGTCATCTACTCCGGCAGCATTTCATTACGTGACGTGAAATTCCAAGGGCCATCGCTGGCAGGAAGAGCTCAAAGCTAAATTCTTGAGGCTCTTAGGAGCACTTCAGTTCCTAACCATCTGAGATCATGTGACACAGGAATTCGGAAGTATCAGGCTGTATCAAGTATTATAAGAATGCTACAACCGAATGCCATGGGAGGATTACTCCAAGAAGACCAGGAAACTGGCAGCCTCACTTTCCAGATTACTCCCTCTCCTTGGCCAGTAAGTGCCGACAAGCCACGCAGCATTTGCAGTTATCTAATAGGAAATTTACACAGAGGAACCAGACACACCGCATCTGGTTATGCAAAAAGTCAAGTAAGAAATAAACTGGAATCCTATACATAGATTATAAAATGCCAACTGGACTTTTATCCAGGTCTCTCCCACTCCTAAATACAGAACCAAACACCCACGATGACATACTACATACAGTTTCAAATTCCTAAAGGTAAAAAAAAAACGTATTTTATTGAAAGATAATTTAGACAAATTTATTCTTTATAATTTGGCACATTTTAGATTTAAAAAAATTGTTTGCTATAGAGGGTGTATGTTTGCTGGAGAGACAGAGCAACAAAGAGAGAAAATGAGTAAACATCCCCAGAGGGGATGGCCTCACCACAATCCCTTCTCCTCCATTCTCCTCTTGGGATTTTGGGGCACACACAGACATACCTATAGTACTTTCCAAGCTACCAAGTCTCAAACGCATGCTCAGCCACGTGGATCCAGCTGCCCTAACACTATGCCACTGGCTGGTCCTAATATGGCTCATTTTTAACAAGTATTTTATCTAGAAAGAATTGAGACATTCTTTATTATTTGGTTCATTATAAAAAGAAAAGACAAAAAAAGGCCCAGCCTCTGTGCAACAGTCAGTATTACACCAGACCACAGAGATGGAAGCCAC